TTGCCTCCCATGTCACACAATGAGCAGCAGATCTGATGTACCACAACTGACTGTTCCCTAGGAATAGTTTTGGCATTGGCTGAAAATAGTACTGAGGGTAACTTGCTTTGACCATGTGATGACACTTTGAGTTGCAAAATTACTTTCAGATAACTTGCACTGAAAAAGTATAAATAGCACAGCACATTAGACTCATCTGTGTGGAATGTATACATGCAAAAATAGGGCTCCTTAATACTTACAGTTTGTCTAGGCAGAACAACCTGTCATGCTACACTCTGCTTCACTTTTAGGCAAACAATTTGCACTGATAATGCTGCAGGCTGTGCTATTTCCAAGTGTTCATCAAACATGAGAGAAGCATTAATTCAGCCGTTCTCTTCCTAGCAGCGACACTCAGAAATGTCATTAGTGATCTTAGGCAAAGGTGAGAGGTCACAGCTTTAGGAACAAGTGATTAAAACGTGTCCCAGCGTAACAGACTAATTAATCTTTAGGTAATAACAGTTGGTTTTTTTCTCTCTGTGCAGCTGGGGGTGTTCACTCTCCCTCCACAAGTATGGCAACATCGGCACAGTACAGACAGCTCATAAACGACTACGGCCCCCCATCTCTAGGCTATACACAAGGGATGCAGGTACAGCTCTGCTTCTTTTCCTTTAGTCAGATCACTGGCCCTACCTCTGCACAGTGGCAGGGATTGTGGCCTGTAATCTGAGGTGCTCCTCCCTCCCACCAAGGTCTGAAATCAAACCCAAATGGCAGACTGCTTCCCCGCACATGTCTGGGGATCAAATTAGGCTAAGCTGAGTGCTGAGTGAGGTTGCTTCCTAATTAACTGCTAGTCCTGTCCTGTCTGAGTCAGAGAAATGGCTTGAATTGTGTTCTGTAAGGGCACTTACAAATTTTAAAGTTATTTGTTAAAAGCCCAATATTTCTATTCAGTTTTTTCTTCTCAATCTCCCTACCTGGTGAACTTCTCCACAAAATATACACTGAAATACTGAAAAACCAGAAACAGGGTTAAGTAAGCAGTTCCAGGTTTGCTGGTTTTGCAGGACTGTTTTAACTTTGCTTCACCCAAAGTCCAAGGCTTGCAGCTGCACCCTCACAGTTGATCCCAAGTTTTGAAGGGCACGTACCATTGTGTCCAACTGTAGCAGCAATTAAAAAAAAAAAAGTTTATATAATAATCCTGAAATTTTGTTCTTTTAAAAAATGATTTACAGGGCCATTTCTGGTCTTCCATAAACTTCCACTTGCTGTTTCTTGTAATTGTTTTGTTTTTACAGTATTTGACTGAGATTAATCTACTTTCAACTACAGGGCACCAGCAGCAGTCAAGTACCACAGAGCAAATATGCAGAACTTCTAGCTATCATAGAAGAATTAGGAAAAGAGATTAGACCTACCTATGCTGGGAGTAAAAGTGCGATGGAGAGGCTAAAAAGAGGTAACTTTTAAACTTATTTTTAAAAAAATAATCGTTTCCCATCTACTCTGTGCACTGACTACTTGTATACACCTTAATGACATCTCTTTCCTTTGAAAAGAGACAACTTGAGCCCCTGAAAGTGGGAGTATTAACCAGCAACTGAAACCTTGGGATGCTCTGTCTGAGCAGTATTTGATAGATAAACAGTGACAAAAAGTGTCTCATTTGCATATAGGAAGTTTCACTTAATAATTCAAAATCAAATTAAAATAATTCTTATTGTAGAATCTTTCATGGATAGATTCTTTCAGGCTCCTGGTGATTTTCTTGCCCTTTCAATTCCCTTTTCTCCCCACTCCCCAAAATCCACAGCCAGGCATTGTTTACATCTCATACACATCTCCTATCTACTTGGCCCAAGAATGTTCACTGAAGTGCATTTTGCCTAAAGAAATACAACACTGTGGTAGCTTCCACTGAGGCTGGTGGAGAAAAAAAGCTAAAAAAAAAAGCCCAAAAAGGTGTTAGGGAAGGCTGTTCAGGCTGAGATGTCAAACATGAACAGAGCTCTGTGCAGAGGAGAGTGGGGCTGCTTAGGCTCCGTTACCTCCTGTCAAGTGCATGTCATTAAAAGTCCACTAGAAAGGGACAGAGCAGCTTTTAGGGCTGGCTGATGAGTGTCTCCAGCTTTGCTTTGTCAGCTAAAAGGGGTAATAAAGCCCTTTCCTTGGAGTGTAAAAGAAACCCCTGCATGTCCCACTGCTGACATCAGCCTGACATTGTCCTCTGCAGGGGACGTGCAGGGATATTTCTGAAGGAGCAGTGGGACATTCCTCTGCTCCAGCTCCTGAAATGACCCTGAAAGGCCACAGACAACAGTTGTACTGGCAGTTCTCTCCTTCTCTAGCATGACATGCTTACTTTTTCCTCCCTTCCTGTGGTCCTTGTGATGAGATTGGCTCATGCATTGAACCCGGAATGGGAATGTTATTGTAACAGACTAAGTTCAGCACCTTGCAAATCCCCCTCACACTTACCCCAGACTACAAAGCTTTATTTAAGGCTCAACCATTATGGAAGAGTAATATATCTGCCATGACATGCAATAAAATGACTAGTAGCTGTTCTGGGAAAGGATGCAATAATGTCTGCTGATGAGTGGTAAGTGGAATCTGGCCCAGCTAAAATCAATGTTGCTGGAGTCTCTCTTTATTGCATTGCCTGAGTCAGTATTAATAGATCATGAATGGCAACAGGCTAATGGGGACAGCTTGAGAGAGACTGAGAGAGATGCAGATGTTCTCTGGACTGGATGGTTTAGTTCAGTGAGGAAAAAGTTGCTTTGCTTCCTCTTGCAACAAGGTAGGTTTAAGATACAATGCTGCCACTGTGACTTGCCAGTGTTGCACAAAATCCTGAATAAATACTTTTTGCTGCCATCTTTTGGTCACAAAGGTACCTCTCTTTCCATTTTGGGAGCCTGGTGGCTGAAGGAGCATGTGCAAGTGTGAGAGCAGAATGATTGAGGGTAACACGTGACTGCTGCCTCCATGGCCATGGAGGTTATCCCTGAATAAAGTCCCTGTCCCCAGCTCTGCCCGCTCCTGAGCACTACTGACCTCTAAAACTGGCCCAATTCCCAGTGTTCTGCATTATTCAGAGTAGTTCTGCTGCATGAACTGGGCATCCTGCCACCAGATCCAGGTCTAACACACTGCCTTGAGTTCATGTTTCTGCATCCCACAGCTGCAGCTTTCCTCCTCCGTGCAGTTTAACCCTCTGCAAAGCCTTGCACTCACCAAGTCCTCCCAGGTCGGTAGGCTCGCTGTGGTCTGGGCTAGCAGCCTTCTAGAAGCCTTTATCTCCAGAGATTAACCCCCATCTATTGCCTTACTGCCCTTCCTCTGCCTTGTTAAGGAGCATGATGAGCGGAGAAATCACCTTCTGTCTTGCCTAGTCAGCAAAATATATAAACCTCTGTTGTGGGAAAATCTGTCCACCTCTCATTTTAACACCTACCTCAAGCTCTGTTCTTTCAGCAGCTCTGTGAGCATGAATCCACACTTAGTTCCAGGATTATGAACCAGAGTCCAGATTGCTGGAACTCAAGGCTACAGGACTTGTAGTGGAAAATTCCACAATATGTCTGTCAGATGAGAGCAGCATGTAAAGGGGTGATGATTTACACTGGGAGCTGAGCCAGGGTTAGGAGGTAACTTTCTGCACACACAATAAAAAAAAAAATCTCTTCTTTTTACATGAGAGACACAACTTGTCTTTAACAGTATTATGATGGCTTGGATTTTGATGCATCCTCCCAGAGGAGAACTATCCCAAGGCATTAAGAGCTTGCTAAAATGACTCCCCAATAACTTGGTAATTTGTTTCACTCCACTAGCAAAATAACTCACTGGTAGGCAAGATGTTTTTTTTCCCCCCTTAAATCTTTGATTTTAAGGAGGCCCACACTGCACATTAACATCTACCTGCCACTGCAGACTTACAAATCTTACTGTGTTTTCATTCCTGGTTTAGTCCCTTTTCAATTTACAATGCAAGTTTGGGAAGGCAGACTTGTTTAGTGGCAGCTGATGTTTGGGGAGCGAGGGCTGTCCCCTCTGCTGAGGCTTTCTGTGGTAGCCTTGGCAACTGGGGACAGAAATACATAAACCTTCCTGTGGGCTGTCACCGCAGTGTGGCCTGAATGGGATGATTTAAACCACGTCCAACTCTCCTGCAGGCATTATCCATGCTCGAGGACTGGTTCGGGAGTGCCTGGCCGAGACGGAACGAAACGCGAGATCCTAGCCCGCTGCTGCAGCTGCACGGTTCTGCATCTCCTCGTGAAGAAAAAGTAACACTTCTTCTTTTTGACTCTTCAAACATTCAGACAAACTCCTTTATTTTGAATGTTTTACCGTTCTTGTTTTGCCCTTGCAAAAATGTACAGTTAAGAATGGGAAGAAAAAAAAAAAAAAACCAACCCAAGGGTTTTTCAACTTACTGAGGGTTTGCATTTTCTAAAGAAGTTAAAACTCCCTAAAATGTTTCTAAAACATGGAAACCGAAGTGCATGCAGAGGAATGCTCTTTCTCTCCCAGGCTGTATTTCAGTTCTCTTCTTATCCAGCCACAGCCTCATTCTGTTTGTTTTTTTTTTTTTTCCTTTGACTATGTTCACTTATCCCCAAAACGTCAATCTTTCAAAGTTTGACATAAGCTCTAAGGATTTTTTTTTAAATAAATGCAGAATAGCATGCTGTACCTAGTAGTCTGCTAAGTCACAATTTGTCATACAGCATAGACCCTGCTTAGAAATAACCTTCCCCTTCTCTTATTTTTCCTTTTTTTTGTTCATTTTGCATAAACATTTGCATGACTGTTAGTGCTTTGAAGTCCACTTAAAGTGCATGAGCTATATGGAAAATAGGGAAACCTATTAAATAATAACAAGGTCCTGGAAAGCTAATTTCTACACTAAGGCTGGAGATTTCAGTTTAAAGTTTGCAAAAAAAAAAAAAAAGATAAAAAGAAAAGAAAAAACATTCTGGATAAATTACTAAAACTGTTATTTGCATCTTTGTATGTATTTATTACTTGACGTAATAAAGCTTATTTTCATTAACAGTTTGTATTAAAACTATGTACAGTCACTTTAATCAGATTCATACTCCAGGAGCAAGAACTGTCAACAGACAAAAATTAAACTTCATGCAGGAGTTTAGGAAAGGACAAGGCAAGGAGCCTGCAGATTTCTGGAGCACTCCATCCATGGCACAGGGTACAGCTGGTCTCTGGGACAAGGAGGTGAAGTTCTGGAAGTCTTTGTTGCCTTCAAAATCCATACTCTGGCTTTGGGTCACCAAAACATGGTAGCAGCTGGTGAGAGTGCTGTCCAAAAATGAAAAGAGAAGTTCTGGTTAAGCTGCTGGAATTGTTAGTAGGATAAAACCAGGGAAAATGTACTTCAGGAGTGGCTTCAGAGGAATGGTGACAAAGGAAACACAGCTGCATTTGTTTCTATAGAATGGGAAACTGTCAAAATGAGTGAAGGTACCAACATGGCCAAGCTGAACTGCAGCACAGCATAAACATAACAAACACCTCTAATTAATTAATTAACAGCTTGGATGAACTGGACTCTGCTGCCTTGGGAGGCAGCTTCCAACACAGGCAATTTTTTATCTGTAATGACTCAGTTTTACCCCTGAACTGGAGGGCCATGAGTGACCATCCCTGACCTGCAGGAGGGCCCTCCCTGCGCCCCAGTGCTCAGCACCACTCCAGGTAAGCTCTGGAAAGCTGCTGGTTAAACTTTACTTAGAGCTGAGTAGGACAGAGCATTTCTTCAGCTGATGGATCTGAACCAGTGACTGGTGTCTCTTCAGCAGCAGCTCAGTTCACACCACAAAAGCAGCATCCAAACCTGCTCACAGTTTGTAAAGGATTTGTGTCACTGCCTGGGTGAGGATGGGAAGTGGGAACCTTTTAGTGCTGTTCTCATGTGCTGCAGCTCCCAGGAAGCAGCCCGAGGTGTCATCTGCACAGAAGGAAATCTATTGATTTTTTTTGGTTTGTGCTAACAATGGTGGAAAGCTTATAGCTCCTCTTTAACAAGGATTCCTTTATCTCCTGGACCTGGCAGAAAACCTGATTGCTGAATGTGATTAATGAGATGATGGCAGGGAGAAGCAGGAGTACATGAGTGCTTTTATCTCCTCAGCTTTGCAGGAACAGCAGGTCAGCACTGGGGTTTCAGCTGTGTTTATGAAGCCCTGCATCATTTGTTAGCTGGAAAACTGTTTGGGTCTAATGACAAACAATTCTCTTACCCTGCTAGGGCAAGGCAATATTTCACATGTTTATTCCTTATCCAATTGTTGCATCTCTTTAAAAAGCTTTTTCCTTTCTAGGTTTTCCTTTGCTCTTCTTTTTTTCTCCTGCTTTTGCTTCTCTGATGTTTTCTTCTCCTTAAAAACATCACTGTCTTCACCTTTGTAGAAAAGGTCAACTTTTTCCTGCAGGATTTCTCTGGCAATCTTTCGGTTCTTCTCCACTGATCTTGTCTGATGACACTGAAGAAATACAAAGGACATTTTTACTTAAACCTTAACTTAAATCTTAACTTAAACCTGTCTGTTCTTCAGCTTTCCCTTTCAGTCTACACATTCCTGCCATTAAAGAAAATCCCCTCCTCCCCAAGCCAAGAGCATCCTCCCACCAATAACAGCTGCAACTTTTAAATTCAGATGATATATTTTAATAATTATTTGCTACTGTAACTCATCAGACTGGCTTTTGCATTAATCTTTAATGCTTCCCATCTCACCCTGGAAAGCTGCTTGAGTTTAACTTAACTGTGTCTTACCCCTGTGAAAGGAAGCAAAGATTAATTTCAAGGTATTAATCCACAAGAAGCAGGTAAGAGAAATGCTTAAAAGGATCTGCAGAGTGATCAACTTGCTAAGGAAGAGATTCTAACTCACATGAGGGACAGGAATGTGACAGCTACAATGAAGATTAATTAAATTGGAATCTACAGAACTGTAACTGGGTGGCAAAGCCAGGAGAAGGAGCTCAGACCCCAAGTTTATTTATCTGCTGACAGGCAAGACTGCTTCTTGCTGAGGCTCTTTACTAGATATATATATATATATTTATTTATTTATTTATATATAAACTTCGCCTCCATGCCACCTGCACTGTGATTATGCTTTATTCTGAAAGGACAGCTGGAAGTCCTGATGAAATTTGACTCAATAAAACAAAACACAATTACCTTCACTACAATCCCAGATGGAATATGCTTCAGGACAACACAGTTGTTTGTCTTATTTGTGGCTTGACCTCCTGGGCCATCACCTCTCACAAACTGTTCTTCCAACTCTGCCTCATTTAGTTCAAGGAGATTCAAAGAGTTCTTTTTTCTTGCTGCCTGAAGCAAGGGAAGGCTGGGCAGAGAGAGCTGCTGCTTCCTCAGAACCCACCGTGCCCATGATGGTGTTTGCACCGCTCTCAGTAAGAATGCAGAGTGAAACAAACCTGGGACATTCATACAGAAACCAGGATGAAACTTCTCTGGAGCGAAACCTGGAATGGAATGGGAGAGAGGAGTTTGCCATGAGAATCCTTAAGATGAGCTGCTTTAGCTGCACATATTGAGCAGTATTTCAATATTCAGAATTATTTTCAAGGTTACTTGAACTGGTTTCATTTGCCTTGAAATATTTACCATGCTGAACAGAATTTTGGTTCTCAATATAATTACGTTTCTTAAAATATTTTGAAAGGGATCTGGAAAACAGTAAATAAAAGAATACTCCTACCAACACTTGGAAAACACTAAACATATAAAAAGAAAAAAAACAAAACAGCAGAGGGAAAAGAGGTTATTTCAGTCTTGCAGTCTGACCTGTAGAGACTAACTGGGAAGCTGATTTTTCCCAGGTGAAGGAATTCACAATATTACCAATAAAGGTGTGCCTGAAGTGTGCATTTTCCTCATGGATGATGAGGAATGGCAGCTCCTACTCCTGTCAGTCTTTAGTACGGCATTAGGTAAGCAACTAAAACACTACATGCTTGAAATACTTTATTTGGCTCGGAAGAAAATACTTCAGTGTGTGAAGAAGTGCCACATGGCAATAAACAGAAAATCCGAACCGGGCCGAGCCAGACCAGGCCCGACCCCTCCGGTCCCGCTCGGGCCCCGCTCACCTCCACCGGCGCTCCCGCATCGCGCATGCGCACGCCGTGGGGGGCGGTGCTGCCGGACTGATTGGCATATGGGGCGGCCAATCACTGCGCGAGAGGGGCGGGGATGGCGCTTCCCGCATCGCGCATGCGCACGCGGGGGGGGGGCGGTGCTGCCGGAGTGATTGGCATATGGGGCGGCCAATCACTGCGCGAGAGGGGCGGGGATGGCGCTCGCCCCCCAATGGGTTCTCTCGGGGAACGGCGCCGCGGCGCGCGCCAATCCGCTGGCGGCGGCGCGCGGGCTTTGCCGCGCAGCGAATCAGCGCGGGAGGCGCGCGCTCGAGGCGGCCAATCACGGGGCCGGGCCCAGAGCGGAGCGCCCTCTACCCCCGTCCCCGCGTTCGAAACTCCCGGCCGGGCGGTGCAGGGCCGCGCCTGTTCGTCGCTTCACGGCCGCGGGAGGAGGAGGCTGCCGGGCGCCGGGGGCTCCCAGCGATGTGGGTATGAACCGAAAGAGCCCGCGGGCAGCCGGCGAGGGCAGCGCCGCCGCGCTTACCCGGGCCCCCGCGCCCCATCCCGGAGCCGCGAGGCCGCTCCCAGCGCGCCGCCCCTTTCCCCGCAGATTGACGGGCGCTACAGCCAATCGGAGGCGGCGGCGCTGTCAACATCGCGGAGCGCGAGGAGCAGCCGCCCAATGACAGCGCGGGGGCGGGGCTTGGCCTGAGCGGGGCGGGGCTGCGGAGCCGCTGTGGGGCGCTGGTGAAGGGACGGGGCCGTGGAGCGGCCGCGCCGAGTGCGGGGTGACCTGTGAGGGACCTGGGCACGGCGGGGCGAGCGCGGCGCCTGCGAGCGGACGGGGCGCACGCGGAGCCGGGGAGGGGGTTACGGACGCACGGGAGGCGGCCCCGACGGTGCGGACGTGGCGAGAGGGGTCCCTGCGGGGGCTGAGCCCTCGGGGCCCGGGCGGCTGCTGAGGCCGCTGCAGCCCCGGACTCGTTGTGCCTTCTGGGGGTCCCTCAAGGTCCGTGGGCAGGTGGGGGCCTGGCGGCGGCGGGGGCCGAGGCACCCTGTCAGCGCTGAGGGCTCGGAAGGAGTCGGGTCTGGCTCAGGAAGCGCTGCAGAACCTCACGGGCTGTGTCTGCGCTGGCGTTAGCATCCAAATCAGCGCCGGTATTTCTGAGTTCAGAACACCTCGCGGCTTGTTTTCCCCAGCCGTGCCCGTGCTGGGCTGTGCCATCGATGGGTGACAGCGCTCCCGCAGCGCAGTTACAGCTCGCTAATATTTTTGTTTTTTTTTTTTTTTTTTAATCGAGAGCAGACTTGTAATGAGGTTATGAAACGAGCCTGTGTCACAGCTAAGTCCCACCCATTTGCTGTGCTGCTGAGATAGGCCACCCATGATTCCATCCTGGGCTTTCGGGGTGACTGATGCCGCCCCCATCCCCTGCTCCAGTGACTCTCCAGCCTCAGCTGGAGCTGTCGGCTTAGCAGCCTGATAACCTCCGAGTTTTGCGGGCTTCCGACCTCTAGAAAAAGAAGAAAGCTATGTTTTTTTTATTCTTGTCTTTATCCCACGAAGCTCTGCCAGAGGGATGTGTGTGTCTGTGGTAACTTCCTTCCAATTCTGGCATTTTCAGCCCTACCCAGAGGAGATAGTGAGTGAGTACCCAGAAAACATTTCTGCTAAAGCCAAGCAGGCTCCAGTAAAACAGGAGAAAATAGGACAGTTGTCCATTAGTTTCCTTCTGGTGAAAATATTTTATATTTCTCAAAGTATTAGAGACATATCTCCAAGAACTTGCAAATAATGAAAACTTGAATCTGTAAAAGCCATCAGCCCACAAGCCCTGTAAAGAGGAGTTGTGCTTTGGATGTGGTGTGCTTCTTTAAGGCAGCAGGAATTTATTCTTAGCATTATCAGACTACCAAGATGATATTTCTTAATGTCTCTTTTTGCTCTCCATCCATGAAATGATCATAAGGTTTTTCTACAGTGTTAGAACACAGGCTGAATTCACCAGGGTGTACAACATGCTGAAATAAACCCTATGTAAGAACTGCTTAATTAATTATTTCAAGGGTTTTCTTAGTGAAAGTATGCAAACTGGAAGAATATTTTAGTCTCTTTACAACCAGTCTGCTTTGAGTGCTGTAAGACTGTGGCCCAAGTATTGTGTATTTATTTATTTATGATTCTTTCAGTTAACCAGCTGCTGTTTTCAACCAATGTGGGATTCCTGTTTGACTCCTTTTTTTTGTTGTTTTATTAATTGGTCAGAAATGTAGCTCAATTTTTAAGCTTTCTGATTTAATGTTGCTTAATAACAATGAAAAAAGTGATCTGTGAAAAAAATAAGCCAAACATTACACACAGAAATGGCAGAATTGGTCGACCCCAGTCTAACTCAGTTGATCTCAGTTTTATTATTTTTGGTGAGTGTGTTTCTTCCAGTGAAGGTTCAGCTCCCCAGTCACAGCTAAATACATTGGTAACAGGAGATTTCACACCTTGCACATGGTCTGTGGAGCCCCAGATTTAAGAAAAAGAACCAATCAGACCCTGAGAACACGGTTTTACCTGGAATGTTTTGTATTTCCAGCCCAGTCTGGATGTGTTGGGAATCCTTGGCCTTGTGGGAGGCCCAAGGCTGAGTGAGCAGCACCTTCTTGCAGGGATGGCACAGAAGGGAGGGAGCCTGGTTGGGGAATATTTGCACTTTCTGGGGTGGTTTGGCTGCAACAACTGTCTCTTCAGTTCCAATTCTGTTTTTTCACACAATAAAGTCAAATGCTTTTTTAAAGAGAGTGATGTTTATTCTCTCTGTTTTCAGGGTAATGTCTTACTTGGGACTAAGATATGGAAAACAGCAATGTGGTGAATTCTGTACAAGAAACCCCTTTGTCCTTTGCAGACTCTGATGTCAGAAACACCCACAGCTCTGTCTGCGGCTTGAATTCTAACAGGTAACGTGCTGAAGGAATCACTAACAAATACTTTGATTATTTTGGTTCTGCTTAGTTAGCATGCCTTCAGAGCAATATTGGTATTAGGGTGAAATTTTTATTTCAACATGATGAGAGTCCTAAATTGAGTGTGTAGTTCTCTTCTGGCAGTCTGGCATATGCAGTGTATTGTTGCACACCTGACACGATAAATAATTGAGCTGTTTTCCTTGTGTTTCACTAGAAGTCCTTCATCCAATCCCAATGGAGTTTCTGGTTACTCAGGGAATACCAGGTCCTCATTAAAGCCTGGTTCTGTTGAGCTGCTTGCCTCCTTTATGCAAGATATCCAGAACATTGGACATGCTAACTCAGAAATTGTGAGGAACTGTGAGGTATTTGATATTAAATTTTATTTTTTAAAAGTGGTATGAATGTATTTGCTTTGCATTTTGGAAGGCAAATCTAATGATACAATTCACAGCAAGGTCTGTGTTTATTCTTAATGATGGGACAGATCCTTTTACAATAAATGAACTAATCACCTGGTTGGATTTTACTGCAATTTTATCTTTGTGTTTTACAATAATTTGTCTTTATGTCTTGGTGTTTTATAAAATAATAGTATTATATTAATAATTTATATATATTGTAATATAATATGGATCTGAACATTTTTTCCCAAAGTTACAATAAAGATAGGAAGTTCTTGAACTGAAAAATTTAAACCATTAAAACTGTGTCACATCAAACTGGTCTGAAATAATCCTAGAAATTAGAAGGGTTTTTTTTTCTAAAAATGGTTCTGTTTTGCTTGATTTATTTATATAATCCATTTGTAAACATGTGTAGGGGATTAGTTTGTTTCCAGATTTAAACCAATGCAAAAACAATGATATGGTTTTAATGAACTAATTCTCCCAAACACTTTTTGGAACGTTTTTTGTCCTTTTGTATTTTTAATTTTATGATTATTTTTAGTTATCATAAGGAGCATCAGTTTTGCACACCATGGGCTTCTTCTTGCAGATTTTTGAGCTCCCTGGCTGGGATCCATCCAAGTGTGTGTTGACAGATGCTTAATTTGGGTTCTCTTTAACACCTCCAGGAACAGAATATTGATGTCTGTGTCCCGTGTCCTGTGCTTCAAGCACCAGGCTCCATAAACATTAACATAAAATAGTTTTTAAACATCAGATTTTGCCATGTTTCATGAATGCCGTGTATGTGATTTTTTAAAAAAATTATCTCTTAGTTTCCATGACACAATTATGCATCATGGCCTTTAGCTGGATTGCTGAGGGGAAGAGTTTCTTAGTGAAGTGGATGGACAGAAGGGTGTTTAATTCTCAATATTAGAATTGCCTACAATTAATGGAACTGGAATCAACCTTTCCAGAATTTGACTGTTCTTTGCTGGCAGCTGTTCCTACTTTTAGTTTCCATTGATTGGCATGGTGGGGGCTGAATGTACTGTGGGGTGGGCAACCACAGTGCTCTTACTCAACTTTGTATCATGTCAACACCCAGGGATGGCATTGCAAAGCTATTTGTAGCCAGAGAAAAAGGTAAGAGGTGCAATATTTCTGTGCTTTAATTATTTCACTCTGTGATTTAATAGACAAGGTGGATACAGCTGCTGAGACTGGTAGAAAAACAATGCCAGGAACAAATAAATGCCCAGCAAGAGCAGTTCCACCATCAAATCCAAGTAAGTAATGGCTGTTCATGGAACTAGATAAAGCTGAATGATTTTTTTTTCTCCCTCCAGTCCCATGCTCCTCCAAAACAATGCAGAGGGGCAGTTAATGGAAGTGGATGACTGGAGTGCTGTTCAAAGGAAGCATATTTGAGACAGCCTTGGTTAATTAACAAAGTAACTGTTAGGAGCCATTTCAGGAGTGATTTGTGGATTAGCTGTTTTCAGTTACTTTTTTTTCACGAACATTTGGTTCAGAATGCTCACCTGATAATGTGATTTTGTAGGTATGAGGTTTTTATTAACTGTTAGATGGTATAATTTCTAATTTTGAGACAATATAGCTTTCTTTTAATTTAAAAAAATATTATACAACTTATCATCCCCTCATCCAGAGAGTATATAACCCAGGAAAACCATCCCTGAGCACCCATTTCACCTTCAGTTGAACAGTTTCCTTTCTGAGAATGAAAAATAACCCATGTGAAGGTTCATATTTTTGCTGAACCCTGTTTATCCATTAGAAGAAAAGCAATGTATATGTATATATAACAGACAGTAAATACTGTGCATATATAATACTTAATATCTTCATCATTTTGGTTGCTGTTTTTCCCTTCCCTTTCCTGATGCCCTCCACACTAGTAGTAATCAGCAGTTCCTGAACTGAATTACCAAGAGGTACTGTCCTTTTATCCTATCTCCTGTTTCTCCTGCCTCACCTCCCCACCCTCCCTCCCCCTTTCCATCTTGTTATTTTCCTGTTTCCTTACCCTTGTTTTTCCTTCCTCTTACTGTAGTGGTTTGATTCACTTGTTGCTGATCATAGTCTTTACTAATCCATTGTGTTGGCTTTGCTGGTTTTTGTCTTTTTTTAATAGGAAAGGCTACCTCTGGAAGAGCTGAGGGTGTGGTGTCAGCAGGGGCTTTCTCACTGCATGGGCTGCCACACTAAATACAAAATCAACAGCTAGAACTGAGCTATTTTATGCATTAAATAAAATAGATGGGGCTGTTCCAAACTTACCTGGTGTGCCAGTGACCTAGTGAAAACACTGAAACACAGGCAGCTCAACACATTCCAGTGAGAGTAATAAAAAGACACAATAATAGTTATAATAATAATCTGCTTTTTGTGGTAGAAAAGCACAGACATGACTTTGAGATAAGGTTTGTTCCATGCTGGGTTTCAAGACCAACTGTATAAAAATCTCCTTCCATGTGAGAATAGGGATAAAAAAAACCTTGAGTTCCTTTTGGAATCAGTGGGCTCAGCCCTTGGCTTATGTGATCTATACAATAAAAGATAACTGTGCCAGGGACAAGCTGGATCATCCCAAGATCAGACTTTATCAAAGAGATTTTAAAAACAAAATTACAATCCCAAAACTCTAGAAAGTACATCTTATTTTTCCCTTTTTTCTTTCATATCTTGCAGTTATTTGTGACTATGCAAAAAGAGGTAAAAATGCAATTTAATTGGAATAGGAGCCTTTCACTTTTCCTGCACAAGGGTATTAATGACAAAGATTAAATGTCAGCAGTGAATCTGATCCTCTCTCCCCCCACTCCAGTTCTGTTCTTTCCCTCCTATTCTCCCTTCCCTGCCTTCCTGACAGTTGGATCACAGAATTAAAATACAAGTGGTTGCTGCAGTCATGATTGAAATCATTAGCAGAACATAAAACTTTGTAGTGGAAGGAAACTTCATCCCAAGTTTTTTGTTTATTTGTTATTTTTGGCAGGGAAAGGCTGAACTGAAATTCAGCTGTTTGTTCTTTTGTAAGTTAGTAAAAAATCTGAGGCTTGATCCTGACTAGCATTACACATAGGTTCCTCTGAAATTAAGTCTTCTTTTTTATTTCTTACTTGAGAGAATAAATCTTTTTTGTTCAATTTGTGCTCTCCAGTTGCTATTCACATGTGAGTAATGTACTGTAGTTCTGTGAAAAAACATGAGTTCCATGTTCTTAAAATTATTGCAAGTTTTTTCCTTCTTTCTTTCCTGAGGGAATTAGTTTGAAATATATTCTTGAAAACAATTCTATGCTCTGTCCTGTCATGTGCAAGAGTTGTGTGCTCCTGCAGTTCAGTAATCTCAGTTGAACTCTGCAGAAGTGCTGGCCACAGGCACAAATGTGAAATCTCTTCACAGCCCTTGGCAAAAGCATTAATTATTTCTCAGAGCTGTTTCAGTATTGCCAATGCACAGCTGTAAAACTTAGAACTTCAAAAAATTACTTACCTAATATACTGAAATAAGTCTTGTAGACTAAAGAGTAAGCGACCTGTTAAATGTAATGATCCAGTTTTGGGTTTGCTTCATTCCATCAGCCACCAAAACAATCAAAAAGTAGAACTTTGTACCATGTGAACCTAACAGCAAAATATCTAAATTGGGTTTTTAAAGTCGAGTTTTATGCAATAATCTTGCAGAGGTACATTATTCCTATTCTCATGATAGAGTAATGGTTAATACTTCCATCAAAGCATCCTTGCAGTCTTTAAAAATGTATATCCAAGTGGAAAAGTGTTTCAGACTTAAATTTAGCCTGGATAGTTTGTATTTCTTGAGCTGGTTGGTCGGTAACTATAGTTCTGAGGGCAATTAGTGAATACATTCATGCATGTTTTTTACATGAATAAATGACTACTGAGACTCGTAATTCACTGCATGGAATTAAGGATTGTTCCCATGGACATTTTACTGTTATTTTTACTGTTTTATTTATATTTTACTGTTATGCACAGTATGTATTTATCTATTTTATGCATGAGATGTCTGCACATGAAAACCTGGAGTTACATGGAATAAATACTCTAAATCTCCCACTAATAACCCGAACGGAAGATGCATCTAAACAGGAATGTGATTTCTGATGGGAGTTTTGCCTTTTTCCCCCCCCCGTGCAGCTGATTCAGGATGAGATAAAGGAGCTGGTGAGTTTGCAGAGCAGCACCTGGGCCAGGAGCCGGGCTGTGCCCGCCCCGCTCAGCCACAGCTTCCCCTCGGTGCCGAGCCCCATGGGGATGTGCTCGGAGGCGTTTGAGGAGCAGGGGAGCCTGGTGAGCCAGCTGAGATCCGCCGAAGGGGAAGGCCAGCCCGAGGCCTCGGGGGTGCAGCAGGAATGTGCGGGCAGCGAGGCCTCCATGAACAGCGGCTACGGCTCCCTGTCCGCCTCGGAGCTGAGCCCGGGCCTGCCCGGCCCCGGCGCGGGGCTGCACGGTCAGCATCAAAGAGAGCTTGCAGCAAAAAAACCACAGGAAAATCGTTCATCGGGAAGGAGGGATAGCTTGGTTTTTCCCGCTGGGTTGGAACATAAAGCTGATGAAGATCATCAATGTGGGAAAAAAGCCAGGTAAGTGATAAACTTTACAAATCTGGTCATTTATTATAGACAATCCCCGTTCAGTGAAAGTCTTTGGGGACAGGTCTGAGTTGAATGGAACCTCTGGATGTTCTGCTGCTTGATAGATAAATATATTTATTTAGCATGATGTTTCTGAGTGATGCAGGTGTGCATCTCCAGTGTTTAGCTGTTGTAAATAAATTTAGGGGAAATATCTTAACATGCATGTGTATGTTTCTTACCACCTAGTAAATCTTTAACATCATGGGCACAAAAGTTGAAACAAACCCAACCAAAAAGAGTAACTGCAGATGAAGTATGTGTGAACTCTATGCAAGAAAATGAGAGAGTGAAGAGATTACCACTTGAGAATGTAAGTGTCTTTTTATTTCATTATGTTTTTCTAATGCTATTCTTGTAACTGGTATTTTTTCAGAGTTACAGAATGTTCTCATTCAGTATATATATATATGCTGAATATACTTTCATATTTTAAGCATTTGAGTTCCCATTCATATATTTAAAGTTCATGTGGGCAAAGTTTATTTCTTGGATCATTCCATACTTAGGCACAAAGCTATTTTGGCTTATTTTATTCATTATCTAATTTTTGTCTTAACACCTCCCTGAGTGGCACATGTTCTCTCCTTGTAGAGATAATGGCCACACTCTCAGCTGAGGCTTCAGGTCATGGTAATTTATTGTGCCCTGTAATTTTTGAAAGATCTTTGATTTCAGCTGGTGATGCTTCTTCTGGCACACAGGATTCTTTGTGTGTTAAGGCATTAACCAGTTTGCTCAGGACAAAAACACAGGCACATGTCTTAGGAAATATCAGTTTAATGATGTGGCTTAGCTTAGTTCCACTTTTGGCTATGATTACCCTCAGTATAAATTCTGTAGGTTTGGATCATGCTGTATAATTGTATTTAATCTATTTTCTTAAAAAGACTCATAACATTTACATGCAATTTTAAACCTTATACCCTTACTTTTTTTTTTTTTTCCCTTGTCTTGTGATTTTCCTTCTGAATTTGTTTTTCCATTGTAATTTTAGACAAACCTTACTGATGCTGCTTTGCCACCATACACTTTTTACCTCAATCAACCCAAGGAAAGTCCAAATTCTGTAGTGTCAGAAGCTTCAGGTATAGTTGATTTCTTGTACTTAAATTCCCTTTCTTTTAAATTCTCATTTTTAAAACTCATACTGGAATGCATCTCCAATAACATCAGGGAGGTGATGAGGATTTAAGCACTGACAAGCTTTGCTATGGCATTAATTCTGCTTTTTGCTCCTGTTTTCAAACTGATGGCAGCTCCTGTGTACTGCTGCTGGCAAATGTAGGACATGCAGCAGTTGGGTTTTTTTTCCAAATTTCTCAGCATTTTAAAGCTGAACTTTATGTTTAAAACTGTTTCATAATGGAATTAATGTTAATATCATGGTAGGGTGTGATGCATTAGCATCAGTGGTGTGGTAATTAGAGGAGTTCATGGTAATAGAGTCAGAATTCCTTTAAGCCAAGGGCATGATTCTATGATTGTGTAAATAGACAAGAACAGAATAATGCAGTGTGTAACCTGGTGATTCTTTAATTTTGGGGGGTGGGTTGGTTTTTTTGTGTTTTGGTAAGGTTTGGTTTTGTTGTTTTGAGGGTGTATGTGAGGGTTGGTTGGTGGTAAATTTGCATGGGTTTGGGAGTTGTGGTTATTGGGTTTTTTATCAAAGCCACACAACTAATTAATGTATTTTGATCATAACAGGGTGGATTCATTTCAGTAACAAACAGGGGCACAGAGATGCAGCCCTGCAAACTGTGTATAATTATTGCTTCTTCACAAGCCACTGAGAGAGGGACACATTTAAGAGATTGGAGTGGGATTGAGGCTGTGTCTGTTCCTCTTGTGCCATCCTTCTTAGCCCTGGTAGTTTGTCTTTGCATGCTGCAGAGTGCTGCCCAAACTGAGGAGTTTGTAATATCAGGGGCTGCCTGGGATTATTCCTTGGCTGGTACCAGTTTTAAGTGCTATACTGGAATCATTAGAAATGTAAGTTCATGGTAAATGAGGATTTGCCCCTTGAACACCAAATCTGTGTGATTTAACTGATTTATAGCTTTTCTCCCTGGTGCTATATGGTGTGAGACTGATTATGTTGCCTGTGCTTTGCATTGAGATTTTTGTAACTCTGGCCTGGTAACAAATGCTCTAATGACATCCTTAAGCACTAAATGCAAATAACTAATATACTATTTTTTGTTGCTGACAAAATAACATTTTACTAATGGGTTTTGGATTCCTGTTGTATAGCTGCCAGCTTGAAATCTGTAGAATTAATTTTCTTTTGGTATTTTTCTCATCAGGACTTTCATACTGGAAATTAGATGAAAAGGAGATGTATCACACTTTACCAGAGAATTTCAGAAGTGAGTTGCCTGATGTTTTCTCCAAAAGTACCACCAGTACAAAAGTACCACCAGTTCAGGTAAACTTTGTACATGTTTAAAAGTTGTAATGTAGTTGCTTTTTTGTCTTTGCTGTTTGCCTGTGATGGAGAGAACTCTTTAATTATCTCAGTCTCCATACCCTGGCTCTTCATTATTCCTGCACCCCACTAACCTCACTTGGAATTTACTGACCTTTTGTCATTCAAAAGAAGCTGTGTATAGGAGATGAGAAGTGACCAACTAATATGTTAAAGGTGTATATGCCTTGATAAAAACCCTTTTTTATCTTGAATAAAGCTGTGTGTTCTGAGCTGCTTTATTAGCTAAACTCACCCCAGAACTTGCTTATCTCTGTTGGGGGTGGAGGATTGTGTTCAGAAAAAGTAATGTAGCGATTTTACCTGTTGAAGTTGTCTTCTGCTGATGAAGGGAAGTTGTCATCACTGAAGGAGATTTATCATAAAAGACAAAGGGAAAACAAGCAGATGCCAGACCAGAGTTTTATGCCTTCTTCCCAGCCAAGTCACCCACCAGAGGTAACATTAATTTCTTTACATCACGGAGCAGTTGAGGATGTGTTGGGCTGGTTTCACACGGCTTGGCCCCTGCTGCCACCTCCAGAGTTATGCTGGAACAGCACTTTGAGCAGCTTGGGAAAGGATCCAGCTTGGAGGAACCTCTAAGAACAGCCTGAGCAGAGAAGCACCTTTGCTGCACAACCTTGAGGATGCTGCAGGGACGGATCTGCTGCTGCTGGGGCTGCAGCTGCTGAGCTGCACCTGGAGCTGCAGTGGCAGGGTTTTCCTGCAAGACAAGTTTGTTCCACCCGTGGAACAGAACAGGCACAGGTTGTGGAAATGATCCTTTCTCATAACTTTTTTTTTTTTTTTTGGTTGTGGAAATGATTCTTTCTCATATCTTTTTTTAATAGCTCTCAGTCCTGTATATAACCCAGTAATGGTGGCTGCTGTGTGACTGTGTTGTTTAGGTAATTGATGAAGTGCTTTTGTAACCCTGCAGGTTATTGTTTCAACACACAAACAGACATCCTAGTCTTTCAGGTTGCATAACTGAAATTTCAGAGGTTTTCTACAAAGCTATAGATCTTGGATATGTCCTTTATTAATGGAAACTTAAAAAGTCAAGTTGCAATTACTGGAAATGTGTATTGTCATTTCAGTGTTGCAGGTGCCTTCATTTTGTTTGTCACTTCCAAATGATTGTAATAATATTCAATATAATACCTGCAGTATGTTATACGGTTTACTGTTGTCTTGGGATAAATTTTGTTCTTGTAAATGGAATTAAATCACAGCTTTTTTAGCATTGTAACTTATTTCCCAGATCTTGACGTTGGACCCAACCCTGCATATGAAGCCAGGCCAGCAGAACCAGGGACTCTGTTTTTTCAGGACTCCTGCAGACTCTGCTCCCTTTTCTCCAGACTCTATGGCAGAGCCCGGATTTCCAAGTCATTGTGACACAGACTCTTTTTCACAGACAAGTCATTCATCTCAGTTAGATGATTCTCCAACACCCCCTGCCAGCAGCAGAGCTGTGCACTCGGACCTGTGGAGAAATCACCCATTCCAGGGTGAAAACAGGGCCAGCTCTCCCTTCCCAGTGGCTTACAGGGATGCTGACAATGATAATTCTGTCAACACTGAGGAGGAAGAAATACTGACTCTAACTCCATCTTCTGTTACTCAGTGTGCTGACAGCAGTTTGCCAGATTACAGCCTTTCAGTGGCATCTCTTGAAGACCCTGTGGTAATGTCAAAGTAAGTGATTTTTTCTTTTTTAAAAGTCAGAAGTTTGGTACTTTCATGAAAGGAATGAAACAACAGTAGTGAGCCAAACAAAATATGTGAGTTCTCTTGGTCATGTCTCTTTATAAATAAAAATAAAAATACATCCTTCCCTCAGAGGCTGTGTGAGGGAGTTCACTTAGGCAGAGAATTTCAAATTTTTTTGGAGGGGTTATTTTCCTCTTTAGAAACAAATGTGGAGAGGCACAGAATTTACTGTGTTTAGGAAAAATAAATATCCTCCATTCACTGTTGAAGCTCTGATGATTTGCACTGGACAATCACACAGGGCATTTATTCCATGTATGAGGGCTTGTAAAAAAGTAAATTGTTATTTTGTGTTTGTATATATTATTTGTACATAATAATCATAATATTTACCTCAATTAATGTGATGACAAAGCTGTCTTTGCTTTAGTTTGAATGCAAATAGAGTTTTGTAAGAGACATTTATATGCTGAGTTCATTATGTGCAAATGAATCCAGAATCCACAAATGAATCCACGTGGTCATGTGGATGGCTGGAATTTTCTAAAATTCTTATATTGAAAATAGGATTAGGCAGAACCTGAGGGAAAAACACGCTCGACACATCGCTGATCTACGAGCTTACTATGACTCTGAGATCCAGAGCTTGAAACAGCAGCTGGAGTGCAGCCAGAGAACTGCTGCATCTGAGGAGCTGAAGAAAATCAATCAAAGCCTTGCTGACAGGTACTGTTTGTCCTTCTTGTCTTTCTCTTCATGTGGTGCTCTGTATATTTTAAAGACCGAGTATCCTTGTTGGGAATATCTTGAACAGTTTATGTCCCTCTTCAGTTCTGAAGATTTCATGCATCTGTGATACTAATATTTCCCTCTTAAATATAAATTTATCATTATTTCATGCAGTTGCTAAGTTGTGGCTGCCCCATCCCTGGTTAAGGGGTTGGTCAGGGGCCTGAGCTGCCTCATCTTGTGGAAGATGTCCCTGCTCTTGGCAGAGGGGCTGGAACTGGATAAGCTTTAACTCCCTTCCAACTCGAACTATTCCATGTTTCTGTGAAGATCAGTTCACTGTTGTTAGACAGTAAATGTGGTGTTTGGACCAAAGTTCTTGTTTGACCTGTTTTTTTCTGGAGCCAGTGCAAGCTTTCCTCAGGACTGGCTGGCAGGCAGAGGTAGTCTCAGCAATTTGTAATGGAATGATTTGTGTTGGGAAGATTCTGCTTTCCTGTCATGCTGGTTGTGGCTGCCCCATCCCTGGTTAATGGGTTGGACAGGGCCCTGAGCTGCCTCATCTTGTGGAAGATGTCCCTGCTCTTGGCAGAGGGGCTGGAACTGGATGAGCTTTAAGGTCCCTTCCAACTCGAACTATTCCATGTTTCTGTGAAGATCAGTTCACTGTTGTTAGACAGTAAATGTGGTGTTTGGACCAAAGTTCTTGTTTGACCTGTTTTTTCCTGGAGCCAGTGCAAGCTTTCCTCAGGACTGGCTGGCAGGCAGAGGTAGTCTCAGCAATTTGTAATGGAATGATTTGTGTTGGGAAGATTCTGCTTTCCTGTCATGCTGGTGAACATCATCCTCCTGTACCTTTCCTGTCACAACCACAGGTGGCACAGGACAAGTCCTGAGTTCGTTGGTGCCTTTACCCTGGAGTCTGTGTGCCCCAGCTGTGCCCTCCATTACTTACAGCTTGAGTGTTTGCTGTACAGAGAATATTGATGTGATTTCTGTAGAATTATTGCCAGTTAAAACACATATTACAAATTTAGACAGCTGAAATACTGCACAAAATTTGTGTGTTCCCAGTTTCCTTCTCATCCCAGGCCACCAGAGCCCTTCTGAGCAGAGACACTGCTGGGGCTGAAAAATGTGGGAGGAGATCACAGGCGGGGCACCAAAAGTTGTGGGGATGCTTGAGGAAGGAAAAAAGGCTATAAAATGTAGGTTTATTATTTGAAATTTCAAGAGATTGGTGTAATGTCTGTGTTCTAAGTAGGTGTGACCAGTTAGATTCAGCTCTGAATGAAGCAAGTGCTCACATAAAAGCCCTTGAAAATAAGAATAATCAGCTAGAAAAGCAAGTGGTAAGTATATGTTCTTAAATCAAGTTGCTTTTTAAGTAAAAGGGTAAAATAACGAACTTTTTCATTAATAAGCTGGTCAGTGTTTCCATACTTATCTCTTTTGTTCTTAACCTTTCAACCTTTCCCTTAATAAATAACATCAGCCCACATGTTGCACAGTGACTTTCCTACCTGACTTTCTTAGGATTCCCTACTTGAATCATCATCACTGTTGCTCATGAACTTTTTTCCAGGTTAGCAGGGATCAAATGAAGTCTAAGAGTGAAATACTGTGATGTCTTTATCACGTTCCTCTTTAAATTTTCTTAATTTATTTATTTTGTTTTAATTACTTTCTTATTAGATCGTGATTAAAAAAAATCTCACTTATGCTGGGGCAAAAATACTGTCTTTAGGTATAGTTGCAGTTTTTCTAGCTAGGCCAGACCTGTTTGCTTGTGCATAAATTAACGCATAGCTGCATTAATTATTAGTCAAATTAATTAATTAGTAGTCAATTAATTATTATGAATCAAAAACCAGGACACTTGGTCATGACAGTTGAACTTTGTCATCAGAGTTAGACACCTGCAGAGACTAATCCCACCTTCTTTATGCATTTTTCTGTGCTGGGAAGTAAAGCAGTTGGATGGATTGGAAGCTTCACCTCTAGATATTTAAAATCCTGTAAAATAAATACATTTTGGGTGGGTTTAATCTTCATTTTTATTCTTTCCAAGTCAAAGAAATAAGCAAAAATCTTGTTTAGTTCACGTACATGTGTACCCTTGTTTTCTGTGCAGGCGATTTTAACATAATTATTTGAAATAAAAATAATCTTAGAAATAAATAATCTGTTAAGGAATAAGAACGTTTCCAACACTCTGAAGGATGTTTTCTGTCCTGCAGGCAGACTGGAGGGAGCGTTTCTATGCCCTCAGTGACAATTCCAAAGCCCTGCAGGAGCGGCTGGAGGAGATGCGCGCGAGCCACAAGGAGAAGGACAACACCATCAGCCGCCTGCAGTCCAGGCTCAGGGAGCTGGAGGAGGCTTTTGAGAAGGCTTACAAGTTATCTGACAACAAAAACACAAGGCTCCAGGAAGAAAACAAAATGTTTCAAAATGTGAGTAAGAAAATGGATGATGATGTTGGCAGAGGGACGACAGCAAGTCCCAGGTGTGAAAAATACTCTGAGTTTACAACTGGGAAGTCTTAAGGCACAGCAAGAAGACAGAAATTCCTCAGCTGGCTCCTTGCTAAGCTGGGTGTTGGAGGGAAATGTGGACCTAAAAGATACTTTAAAATTATTTTAGGCAACAAGTGTATACTTGATGAGGTAACCCTTGCAAAAGTCTGTCTCGAGAATTGTATTACTCTAAGTTGAAGATATTACATGAAATCATTTTAGAAAGTAATTTTTCCTCTCTTAAGCTTGTTGGAGATGGACTAAACTTTTCATACCTCATCCCAACTTGCTAAAAATGTTCATTGTGTATGATTTTTAGACTGAATCTAAGGAATTACTCCTCTGATTCTTTAGGAAGAGCTTTATGGAATGTTTAAATGGACTGGCAGGATGGGTATTAGCTGGAATTAAGTATTGTCATGCTCATTCTTTTTTACAATTGAAATTTCAAAAGACCAATTCACTTTTAAAGTCTCTGAGGAATCCTACTGGTTCATTCATTCAGTTTCTTTAGAGACAAATAATGTGAAAATTAGAAAGACATTCTGTAAGTAGCTCTGTCTCCTCTTGTCCTGTCTATAACTTTTTGTTCCAATTGGAAGATGATGAGAAGAACTTAACAAATACTATTAAAGTACATTTTGTATCCCCTGTAGTGCTTCTGCATGTGTTAGCCAAGCTGTTGAGATGATTTTACAGCAGCCAACAAAACTGTTAATTGACTGTGGTCTCACTGTGGGTTGGTGTTCTTTTGTTTTGTTTTAGCTTTTAGGAGAATACGAATCCCTTGGAAAAGAACATGAAAGAGTAAAGGTAGGCACACAGTGGATAATTAAAAACCCAAACATGCAAACTTTGTGATAATATTTCATGGAATTAGCTGAATTAACTTAAATGTTTTGAAAAAGCTCAAACAGAAAGATCCATATTTATCTTTACTGATAACTTTCTCTTCAGAGTCCTGGAGGGAAAGGGAAGGAAACTGGAATCTGTTATTTTCCAGTCATAGGCAGCAAAAATACTGCAAAGTCAAAGCTGAAGAAATTTAATGGACCCTTTGAAGTAGGAAGGTGTAATTGATGTGTTGTTTTCAAGACTGATGTGGAGTTACTTGGGTTTTATTTAATGCACTTCTGTAGTTTCTGGGCTTCTTACATTTTTCTTTGTGTCGTAGGATACATTAAATACTACTGAAAACAAATTGCTTGATGCAAACACAGAGATTTCTGATTTGAAAAGGTAACTGTGAAACTTATTGTTTTAACAATATGAAATACAAACTGTGGGCTAAATGTCTACTCCCAGAGTGTGAGGGCTGTAGATCTTTCAAGTTTAATCACATTTTATGAAGCATTTCATTTTGCTTCATGCTACTGGTACAAACTAAAAATCTCATTAATTTAGGATATACATTTTTTTTCTACTTCTCTGCTTCCACAGCAGCGTTGCCTGGTGCTGTCTTTCTGGCCAGATTACCTGATTTATTTAACTTCAAATTCAAATACATATTTATATCCATATTTAGACAGAGATGCATAGACAGAAACGCAGCAGTTGCTCTTGTTCTCCTGCTTCATCCAGAAAAATCTGAATAAAAATGAGCAAAACTCTTAAGAAATATGATGTTTCTTTTATGCCATTTAAATCATCTCCTAATGCATCTTTTTAAGGACAATTTTAAAACTTGAAGCTCAGCTCAAGCAGGTGGAACATGAAAATGCACTGAAACTTCGCCATATAAGTGAAAATCATTTAAGAACCTCTTGTGCCAAGTAAGTGAACATTCAGACATGAAAACAATGTGTTCTAGAATAACTTTTAGCATGTTTTGGCTAAAAATGGGTCAAGATGAGGTCAGTCCATGGGCTGAACTGGATTAAACACATGTGATGTAATCCAGAGATTGGATGTGCCAAGAAATTATTGAACCCAACTGAATACTCTGGCTGATGCATCTCTGACTTGGCCAGCTGTCCCTGCTCTTCCCAAATGAGTGTTTGCTAGGTCTCAACTGCTCAGCTGAATTCCCATACTCCACAAAGATCTTGGGAATACAAACTGATAGTCCAGTTAGGCATTGGAGGTTTTCCTTGTGTGTCATTGGTTTGAAAGGCTGATTCCTGCTCAGTGTGGTTCTAAATATCATTTGTACAGGTAACCTGAGAGTAGAGGGGAAGTTCAGTTAGAATGGACACTCTGCTTTGAATTGGGATTTATGTTAAAGAAATTCAAGTTGATCTGTGCACTGGTTTTGTTTGTTTGAGGGTTTTTTATCATGTTTTAAAGGCCTCAAAAGCTTTGTCCCCCTCTGGTTTTTGTTACTCAGTTATGGCCTGTTCAGTGTCTCTCCCATTTCAGCAGTGATGCTGTGGAGCCCAAAATGACAATGTGATTTGGGGATGTCCATTTGGATGCATTGAACAGGAGTATCTTGGGGAGATTTGAATTTTGGTGATTACAAAGACAGAAATGATTTATGTATTAATATGTTAATGGGACAGATTTCTGTTTAGAGCTCTTTTTAATATTGATGAACCAGACCCCAACAATGAACAGAAGAAAGGAAGGCCTGGACATGGCAGACCATGTTCATCAGGGAGGGGGATGTAAGAGCCAATATGGATTTAGAAGTTAATCTGTCCCTAACTGATCCCAGAGGCTCAAGGAAAGCCTCATTCCAATTGAATGCCCAGCAGGATGGATTTACAGAATAGTGCCTATAGTTCATAGCTTGGGTAAACAAGTCCCTTTTTTCCTAATTATCTGCTTTCCTGTGTATAGAAATCATATTTTTCTTTTGATATCTCAAGATAATGATCTACTAATTGATACTTATTTGTTGATATTTGTCATTCTCAGGATATCAATGCTGGCTTTTCCTTGGTTTTTTCTTTTTCTTTTTTTATTTTTCTAATAATTGTTGTCCAAAGGAAAGCTGGGATCAGATGCTCTGAACTACTGCAGTAATCTCCACCAAATGTTTTCATTTAATTAGTTGAGATCTACTTGCAACCCAAACCTGGGTCTGAGTAAGCAGCATTAAATTACAGGAAGATCTTTGTGGAGCTCTGCATTCTGAGCATATTGTGTAATTTAGACTGAAACCTCAACATATGGCTTTTTTTCCCCCCCCCAAATATTCTATTTTTACCTTACAAGCATGTTTCAAAAAGCAGATACTTTTTCCACAGTATTTACAAGTTCATTGTATATTTGTTTACTGGAATAAATTTTAGGTTTTTCTTAAAAAACAAAACAGAAACAAACATAAACCCCCCTGCCAAACTCCAAAGCCTTTAATAATTTGGAAGCTTTTTATTCCCACAGCAAGTTGGGAACTCCTGATGTCAGCAGGCGAAAGTGGTTGATACCAGGAGCTGAATATTCCATCTTCACTGGGCAGCCTTTGGAGGGCCAGGAAAGCCCCAAAGACAACAGGCTGGAAGAAACCTATATTCCTTCTAGGTGAGTTGGTTTCTGAAACCTGAACTAAACTAAAATCTGAACTAAATTTCTCCATGGTTTTTGTTTATTCTGTTCATGTTTGGGTTTATGAAATGAAATAAAATAAAAAACTTGATTTTTTTTTTTTTTTCCTTCCACCACCTCACACTCATTAAGGCACCATTCTCCTCCTGAGAAAGACTCCTCACAGGAAGACTCCTCAACCAACACAATAGAAAAGAAAGAAAATGAGATGTCAGAAGCACCAATTATAAAAGCCTTTAAAGAACTTGAAGAAGGAAAAATTGTTAAAGATTGGGGTACACAGACAGAAAAAGAAGATGCACCAGCTAGTAACTCTTATTTTTATATTCCTGAATGTGTCTTTACTGGCTTTTCTCTGTTTGCATGTCTTTTGGCTTTGGTATTCTCAGCATTCAAATCCACCAGGCTTCAGTGGTGGGATAAGAACAGTTTTGGCATGCAAACTTGTGGGGCTCTCCTAAGAAAATTCAAAGTTAGATATCTTAGTGATTTGTTTAGAATAGGGGGAATGCAGAGGTTGTTGTTAGGTCTCAAGCTGAAAAGTAGTTAATGTCCCCTTTTCTAAGAATATCTCAGTATTTATAAACAGTTAATGGAGTCCTATCAAAGCTCTGGCTGCTGTACATCCATTTCAGTTTCCATGGTGTTGTATGGGAATGGAATTGAGGAAGTGGGACTGCCCTGAGCTGTTGTAACAATGCTGATTTAGAGAAAATGCTGAGTCTTTCTTGAAATCTTGTATTCTGGGCCTCAGGCAAGTCCTTTAGCCTTTCCCAAAATATGCTTTTGTCCTGATTTCCACTGTTTCTCTACCAAGCAGTGTTACTCAGCATAATTTCATCCTCACACACTGCAAAGATCCTTCTTCCTGAGTTAAACTGTTCTGTGAGTAGGGAGAGAGACTTGAGCAGAACAGCACAAATAGCACTGATGTGAGGGAGAAAAAGCTCAGTTCAGGGGAATATTTGTGAATTCTTGTGTTGAAAAAGATGGATTAATATAACAACTTCTTTTCTTTTAATTAGAGCCATCAACTCGACGTCAGACTGTTGGGTTTGTTGAACCTTCTGTGGTTGCAAACCGATCTCCAGAGAAAGGGAGAGACCAGCACAGACCCAAACGCTTCAGCTCCCCCTCTGGCCAGAGGTCATCGTCCCTTCCTCCTGCAAACAGGAAATCCAGCACTCCCAGTCAGTGCTTCTCTCAGCTTTGCTTTGTGTCACTCAAACAGCAGAATCAAATCATGAAAGGCTGCTCTAGAAGATGGAAAAATAGGGGCAGGGTTTTTGCATTGTTCTGGCAGTCTGAAAAAAGTCATGCCTGTAATCACAGAATATGTGAGGGTTCTAAGTTTATTTTCATTTTTGCATGTTGTGATGCACTTCTCATCTAGTTTAGATAAACATGTAGACAGCTTTGAAGAGCATTCTTTTAAGCTGTAAGCACATGAGTGGGAGGTACTGCACTGGGGAGTTTGAGGTAGATAAACATACTTTGTCTTTTGCAGCAAGAAGAGAGATAATGTTGGCACCAGTGTCTGTGACATACAGCCCAAAACGATCTCCAAAGGAAAACCTCTCTCCTGGATTTAGCCATTTGCTCAGCAGAAGTGAAAACACAGTGACAAGGTATGAGTCTGGTGAACACAGTTGTGTTCTGATAATTTTTAGAGCAGCAGGATGTTTATCCAGGCTTAATGCTGCTGTTTCTTGTTCATTAAATGTCCTCAAAAATGAGTTGTGAAGATTTCTGAATATAAAGCTGTGTTTTTAAAATCTGGCCAGTAAAATCTAGAATGATTGAACAGGATTTAGAAGACTTACAGTCTTCTTCTAAAAAAGAAATAATTGTTTATTCAACCAAAAGGTGAAAAAGTAGAAAACAATGTATTGCTTGATACATGACTTCTAACAAGTAATTGCTGTGTGTTTCCTGCTCTGTAGATTTGATATACTTCTAGATGACCTGGAAACTGGTGCTACTTCTACTTTACAGCACAATAATCCAAGGAAAAGGCTCCAGTTTCACTCACTAGATGATGTAGAAGGTAATCTGTCAAAGTGGAGGGGAAATGTTCTTTATTTTTGTACCACAATTCTTTACACAGTGGTAGAGCTGCTTAACTAGAAAGCAGACTCCTTACTCTGTGAAGTCCAACTTTTAAAAATCCTCTAAATCTTGCCTTATTCCTGTAGACAGAGAAATCCTGTTCATACAGTATTTTATGTATATGTCTGTGTGCACAAACACAGTGGAACAAGAAAAATAATGAAATTGAGAAAGGAGGGCAATACATTTCCCTGTGCTTAACTCAGTTATCCAATGCATATCTCAGTGAGGTCTGTATTAAGATGTACACACTGAGTCTTACTAATAAAATCCTATTACTAAACACTGCATTATGGACAGCAAAGAGTAACTAATAAAACCAGTTGTTTCACATTTTTTGAAATGATTGATCTTTTCTCCCTTCTGTAGTTTTTGTCACAATGTTCTGCTTTTTGGTTTTATCCATGCTCTTATTTTGACTGGTGTTTGCATGACAACCAGTCAGCTTGGTGATATTTGGAAATGTACCAGTAAAAGTAATTCCTAATTAGTACAACACAGGAATCTGGTTGTTAACAAAAAAATATGCTGTGTTTGAAAGATCCCTTGAAAGATGACCCATAGAAATGTTTTGCATTCCTTTGGGAAGCTGTTCAAGGCAAGGACTGAGGCTTTGCTCATCCCTCTCCTTGGTTCATGCACTGCCAAAACCACACTCCTTGTGCTGCCATTAGTTTTTTTTTCTGTCCTATGTAACAATTTCCCAGCTAATTACAGAACAAATGAAAAGATCCCTGTTCTGTTGATAGGAAGGCAGCATTCAGGTGCCATACACAGCTCCTGTACTGCATCTGTCAGTAATGGAATGAAGAAAGCAGCAGCTTGGGAGGAGAGGAGCCAGAGACACGAGGCAGTGCAATCACCTTGTGAGGAAGACTTCAAGTACACAGCAAGGATTCCAACTCTGGCTGAAACAGAGAGGCTTTTTGATGAGCTGACTCACGAAAAGCAACAGGCAAAGATTATTTTTGTTTTCAAGTTGTGAAAAATAGTAATTGTTCTATGAGAGGTGAGGGATGGAGCCGTTTATCCACGGAATGCGTGGCTGAAATTCATCCACAGCTTCAGTGTCACTTCAGGAATGTGCCATTATCCTTCCCTGCTCTACTTGCAGTCCTTCCCTGTCCCCAGTTTCATTAAAGGAGAGTCACTGTAACAAACACAGTGTGGGTGGGGGTTGGCACAGTATTATGGTGTTAAAGAGCAAAACTCTCCGTGTAGCTGTAATCCATACACCTCACCTCTCCTTCTGGAAGAGGAGTTAGGAAGGCTCATATTGGCTCTCGAAACTAATTTACAGCTGAAGTGTTTTCTGTTATTAGATTGAGGCTGCCCTGAGCCGAATCCCTTGCTCTGGTGGAAGAATGACCTTGCAAGCAAGACTAAATCAGGTGAAAAAGCTTCTCTGTATTACTGTTCTCTTCTGTTCTTCCACAACTGAGAATACATAATGTAGAGGAAAGATCCTCTAGGTAGTAAGTGTGATTACTGTGGGAATTTTTATATTGGTTTTTATGTTACGGTTTTTATATTGTTTAATGTCTTCTGTTTTTTGTACATGGGATGCATTTTGCCAAATTACTGGAAGAATAGTCTGTTCTTGTGCTAAAACTGAGAGGGAGATAAGGCAGTGCATTAACAAAATGCAGTGACTATGAAATAGATCCCTGAAGCTGCAGAGAGGATGTTGTGCTGTAGGAGAAATTGAAAAGTTAGTTTTAGTTTGGTTGGGCTTTGTCTCCTTGAAAGTACAAAGTAAGAAGGTTAAAATAACTGGTTTAGGTGAAATACAGGAAGTGCTCTCTATGGAAAACTCTGCAGACTCTTTTAATAAAAACAAATCTCAAAGTTGTCTTTTAGAGGTCTCTGCAAAGCCTTCAACTTCAGCATTTCCTGAATTGTAATATCAGGGTGCATTATCAATTTATCAATTTGAAATTAAAAGTGCATTCCAGTAAATCAGTACTGCCACTCACTACAGTGATCAGCTGTTTCCTAAATATGCCCAGTATTCCTAAATATGCCTAATATTCCTAGCTATCAGCCTGTCCTAATTCTTGTCAGGTTTCTCTCGTGGAGTTTTGTAAGTCACATGTTAAAAAAGCCAAAAAATACAGAAAAATAACATGACAAGTTTGTAGGTCTGGTTTTTGGGTGGCAACAATGCACCTAAGGCCTCAAAAAGGATACCAGCAATATAGGAATTATAGCAGTTTCCTAATTTTAGAAGGATCATTTGATTTCTTAATATATTATTAATACTTTTTGTTCTTTCTTTTAACTCCTCCTTTTAGGAAGCCCTGGAAGATCGTTTGGAAACAATTAACAGAGATTTGGGGTTGATACGAATGACTCTGAAAAGATTTCATGTTTTGAGAACCTCTGCAAATCTTTGACAGTTCTCTCTCGACTGCAAATATACTTTTTTTTTTTTTGCACTAATATATAACAATGCACTCAGTAAATGCAAATTGTTTTGTATTTTTATAAACCCTCAAAAGTAGTTTTGCAACCATGTTACCCTTTACAAACAGCAATATTTTGTACTTCAAACAGCCACCTCTATTTTAAATGTATTTTGTTACACCTGAGAAATCAATGTTTATCCTGTATTGTAATATTTTTAGAAATATCAATTATTTTTAAATAGTGATATTCAATTTATAATAAGAAACTAAAAGGCAGCTTGTTTTCAGAAAAAAAATGGTAGTGTTACCCTTTTGCACTTGGTTTTCCTCCACCATTTTATAAATATTTATGGTGTGATGTAAATATTAGCCAAGAGGAGATTTTTGGACTTTATTACAAAAAGCAACATGAGTTACCTGTGTTAAAGAGAACCACTGTTCTGTGGTAAATCCTTTTAATTTAAACCTTTATCATGGATGTTTCTCACTGGGACAGAACTGTGAGCAATACTTGCACTGTGGCTGGCTGGGGCAGGAAAATCCTTCTCTGCTGGATCTGATGTCCCTCAGCAGTCACAGTGAGGAGTATTTTGATACTGTGAGTACCAGGATTCACCTGGCAGCAGCCTCCTGCCTCCCAGTGAACAACTCAACTCCAGGACTGGAACTCCTTACCTGAAGTTACTGGTTCCATGTGCCAGCCTGGGTTTTGTGCCAGTGTTCTGTTCCTGTGCATTTCATGTATTTGTGAACATAAATTAATTTTTCTTGGTGAAAAAAATACATATTTGCCAGTTGATATATTGTTGCATTACTGTCCAACATTGATATTTTGGTTTGTATTTTAATATTAAATAAATGTTTAATTAGATTCTTTCCTCCTGCCCAAGTACAGTAATAGGCTCTGGGATATTACATCAGAGATAATGTAGGTTTTAATCATATTGTGTGTTTCAAATTCTGTCCTTGTTCAAGATGTTTAGCCACCAATGATGTGATTACAGGGCAAGAATAGCTGTCATAAAGGAAGCTTGAGAAGGTCTGATTCTAAAATTAGAGTGCTGTGGTTCAAGATACTTGATGAAGAATTGTCCAACCCATGCATGATCTTTTCAAAAATTCTGTAGTTTTTGCAATCCCTTCTACCCTGTGGGACTTCCAGTGCAAGATCAGAGCTGGGGAGAAGTCAAGGATGGGAGTTTCTCATTCTCTCCTTTACTCTAAAATGCAGAAATTGGGTTTGAATGCTTGGAGAGGACTTGCTCCAATGTATTTCCAGTCTCCACAAAGAGATGTACAGTTCTGATGGCATTCCGTCTTCTCACTGGTAATTTTTACTTAGAGGGCTGGAGGGGGGGAAAAATAATCTTTACTTCCCTGTATAACTATTCAGCTGCAGTTTTCCCACTATTCTGTTATTAACAGGTACAATTTTAAAGCATTCTTCAGAAATATCAGTCAGCCAGCAGGATTTTTCCAAGGAATCCATCATGGGAAAAAATTCATGAGTCCAGTAATGGTCTTGTTTTCTTTCATCAGTGCTACAGCAGAACCAAAGAATTTTCCTGACAGACATTAGAGGCAAGAAGGTAAATCAGCTCAGCTCTTTCACTGCCTCTCCTTGTACCCTCCCTTCATCTCCACTTCATTCTCTCCAGCACTATTCATATTCATGGACTCTTTTTTATTACATCCAGAAAACTGAATTGTGAGTCAGAATTTATTTTTTAATCAAAAGTCTTCCTCCATCTGTTGGAGCTCTTTAGGCTATTTCTGTTCTATTATAACACTGAAAGGGGGGAAAAAGTGTTGCTTTGAGTAAACTTCTAGGCCAACCTTCTCGAGTATCTGTGTGACCTGTTCAGTGTGGTGCCTTTGGCCTGATTCATCAGAGGGGCAGAGAGGCTCTGCAGTTCCAGATTAAATCAGTGGGAGGCCTGAATGCTCAGTGCTCCTGAAAATCAGACCCGAAGCACCAAAAACTGGGACACAGGGAGTGTTCACTGCCTGCTGGCCCTGCCCTTTGCTGGACATTGTCCTTTTGTTTTTAATCCCCTTTCAACTTCCTCTTAACACCAGAAAATTGCCTTGTTCTTTCTTTGAGGACACATAAGGATTTCCAGATAACCAGAGAGGCTTTTGCTTCCTTTGTGGAGGACTTTAGTCATCTTCCTCTTGTGTTCTCACCTGACACCTCCCAGCTATGTTGGTGTTTATCGCCTTTCCAGATCTGCAAGGTCCTGCCTGGAGCCCCAGGCTCTCCTCTGCCCCAGTCTGCCCTTGCAAGACACTCCCAAGCATAGTTTTCTCTAGGATAATAAATATTTCAGCTCCTCCAGCTCTGAGATTTAAACTTTGGAAAATAAAATTTGTTTGTTCACATCTCTAGAAAGCAAATTTAAAAAGTTGTAGCTTTGATAGGTGTAGGCATAATCTACCTTGCACAAAGCTGAAACGTGGACCACAACTTAGTGTGGCAGTGCAGGGAGCAGTAAAAAACAAACTGCGAGCACTTTGCCTCTGCAGAGAGGGAAGGAGCGCTGGGATGATGCATCCTGAATGAAAAACAACCGCAGGAAATTTACAAAGCTTTAAAAGGCCACGGTAAATTTCATCGCACGGTCTTTTCCTGAAGTTTCTGCATAAAACGATCGCTGAACTTTTTGCGATTTTTATTCTTTCCCACTGAGCTTTTCAGAGTAAAGCCCGAGGAGCCACCAGCGCTGCTCCGGGGACAGGTGAGGGCACGGCGCGGGCTGGGGCTCGGGGAGCGCCGTTACCCTCGCTGCGGGCACTGCTACCGGCAGCGAGCGGGCGGAGGAAGGCGGTACCAGCCCGGGGATCCCCGCACCGTCCGCCCGTTCTTTCCCGGCTCTTTCCCGGCTCTTTCCCGGCTCTTTCCCCGCTCCTCCCGCGCCTTCCCCTCACGGCGGGGCGGTCCCGCTGCCCCGCGCTCCTCACCGCGGCCGCCAGGCGGCGCCCCCGCCCCGCCCGCTCGCCTGAGGGAGCGCGGAGCGGCGCGGGGAAGGAAGTGGCGGCTCCCGGTGCTGCCGGTGCGCGGGGCTCGGCTCGCTCGGCAGGCGGATAAATCCGCGCGGCCGCCGTGCCACGGCAGGGCGAGGGCAGTGCCGGTGCGGGGCTCTTCGCCTTGCCCGCTCTCTCCTCCCCCGCAGCTGCGGCGGCCCGCCCGCTTCGCCTCCCCCCGCCTCCGCCGTCCCCGCGCCGCGGCAGCGCCGGCGGGCGAGGAGCTGCCCGCGCCCTGCCCGCCCGCACCGGGGATTATGCCAGCGGTGCGCGGGCATGCCGGCAGGCAGCGACCCGTAGGCAACGGCAGCCGCGGAGCCGCGGCGGCATCGGCAGCAGCAGCAGCGGGAGCCGCGGCCGCCGCGCCGGGAGCAGCCGGTGCGTGGCGGGGGGCGCTGAGGGCGGG